CAATTGAATGTGTTATTTATAACAATAGTAGTTTTTTTTTCTTTTAAAAACCTAACTATTTATAATGTTCCCTCAATAATAAAAAATTAATTATAGTAATGGAGTTAGTAAAGTTTTCCCCAAAACTTTGTCTTCAAAATAAGGGTGCGTTTTATATTCCGAAATATGCGGTAGCTCATCTGTTGAAATATATACAGTGGGGATTTAGCTTAGGGTGCTGTGGTTACCATATGAAAGTTATTGGACAGTCTTTTGGATGTTGTAATGTTATACCATAATATGTGATGTTTTTGTATGTGTACGAGGCTACACACATACTTATACTGACATTGTACACGAATTCATTCGTGTCTGTTGTATTACATGCATGAATAAAATATGTAGAGCACAATGTCAGGCAAGAATAAACCAATCTATTCTCTGTGAATACTAGCTTATGCCACATCAAAGGAAGATCTGGTGTTGCCTCATATTTTCATTCTTATTGGTGAGAGAACATGTTTATTTTTATAACTGAAATATTCATGAGTTCACATATTGTCACTGGTGAGATAATTGGTTGGTTTATGTTACATTAAGGAAGGTGATGGTGTTACCCTATGTTTTATTAGATTTAATGAAGAATTTGCTCAATTTTGCAGAATTAAAATATGCATAAGGAAGTTAAATTATAAAATGAAACTGCTGATATTAATTAACTATGTGTCACACCAAAGGAAAAAACAGTGTACCTGATGTTATTGATTTAGATGTGATATATTTCATTTTGCTAATTTAAATCATTCACAAGCTTGCAGGTGTACTGAATATTTTCTCAGTAAGTTACAGCTTGAACAGTGCCATAGTGTGGACTGTGATTGTACTGTCTGAGACATGTTTGTAAAGTAGAAGAATAAGATATCATAAATGCACAGCTGTTTCACAATTTTTAGTTTTTTATTTCATTGGCATTAAAGTGTCAAGTTGGGGATAACTGGAACATTTTGAAGGCAAAGAGAAGGAAAAATGTGGTATGTGAAACATGACAGGTATCTCTTCCTTTCAGTTTAAAAGAGTGAGCATTTCTTAATTATGAAATTTTTTAAATAATTATCATAACTTGAACCATTGAGTCAATTAGCTTGTAAAATATTTGATGAAATGTGATTTGGTGTGTGTGTGTGTAGGGGGTGGGGGGATTGATAAGTGTCAAGTTCCATAGTTTCAAACCTTTGTCTGTTGGAAATAGAATAGAATAGAAAAGAACATATATAAAAAACAATATATAACCAAGGATAAATACAAATCATAAGAAAAGCTCTGTAAAAATTAAACCTTCAAGCTTAATCACCATAAAAACAAACAATAAAGTATACAATAATAAAATACATACAAAACTAAACATTACATAAAACCATAAGAGAAAGAATAAAATAAAATGAAAAATATCATATATTTTATGCTATACAAGAGAGCAATGTTATAGTGTTAAATGAAAAAAATTCTACAAAGTAAATTTACAGCCATTCTCTCACACTTATTATGCACATGATAACTCAGGTATAACTGTACTGCCAACAATCCTTTTTACAATAGCAGGGATGTATGGGCTTGAGGTGTGATTCGATTGAAAACAAAATCCTGGTCTCTCCTTTATAATGTGAGATTCTGTGTATGAATGGATACCCCTTTGATCATCCTTGACAAAAGTTCCACTTTCTGCACCAGCACATCATGAGAGGGTGATGCCCTCTATAAGTGAACATGGGACGCTATTTGGTGGTTGATGATGGCTTGGCAGGTACATTTCCACCATCCATGTGCATGTCCTTGTATGGCATTTGAGACAGCAAAGACAGGATACCCATTCTCCATATAATGTCTCATAGCTCCAACCAGGAAAGGAACAACACCTCACATTTTTATTTTTTACCATTTTTTGACCTTATCTAATGTTCATATTGCACTGTCTTAAAGTATCAAGCCCATCCTCAGATCTGCCTGGGTCATTTAGATTTTCCGTGGCTGCTGTTGAGTAGAGCAGTGAAATGATGCTCAGAAACTAAAATAACATAAGAATTATTTTGGTTTGTTAGTTCTCTTTCAAATTGGGGTCAAGAAAAGGTTCAAAGTTTATTGTTGTTGTTTTTTTCTAATACTTGGCCGATTTCAATTACTTAGAAGTATTCCTAATAACAGCTTAGGACATTCTATTTTTGAGTATAGTTATGTAATGAGAAATATTTCAAATAGCCTAAAAACCTTATGCAGGTATAAGCCATTTAGGTCTCAAACTCATGAAATACGACGAAATGCTGTTTAGATTATTTTATAAATGAGGTAATTTACTAGGTATTATTATGATATAGCAGATGTAAGCTAAATATTTTTCAAATATATGCCTTAATATCTGTACTTTTTTTTTGTAATGAAGTACCTAATGTTCTCTATCAAGGAGAGATACACCGAGAGCTAGCACCTAGATTACAGGGAGTTGAGGATGGTGACTCTCAGTCAGTTGGAGGAGGATTTAGTGATGACTCTTACAGTGGATGTTCATCATTAGGCAAGACAGCATATATCACACTACAAAAGAATGGGGTCAGCAATGTAAACCAAGCTGTTATAGATTTCATGAATGTTACCCATAGTAAGTATAAAGGAACCTTCATATATTTCACTTCCTTTAACTTTAATTTCAAATTTTTTTGAGGTATTATATATCTGTTAAAGTTACACAACTTCATCTATGAATTTGAAGTAGAATATAGAGCAGAAATTTCAGATTTATAATATGTTAATCGGGGGAGTTATGCATGTCTTGTTTAATCCTAAATTATTATTGAATAAAAATCATTAACAATTATCACAAATGCTTCAAGTAGCGGCATGGACACCCACATAAAGATTTTAGGGGGGATCCGTACGTAGGGGATCAGTATTTACAGTGTAAGTGAACAGACTAAAATAGTATATGTTATGTGTGCTTAAATGCAAACACAAATTTGCAGTTTTAATAAAAAATTACTAAAAATATTTAGTTTAACTACAGTGTTAAGTTTACATCATAATACAGGCAATTTTTTGTGAAATGTATGGTGGACAAGTGCCCCCTCTTGCCCCTTCCTGTGGACACCCATGAGTAGCAGTAATAAGGATATCACATATAATTCACACACTAAGTAATAAGTACATTTAATCTAAAAAAAAGTGACAAAATTAAGGTTGCATGATCATTACCAGTTGGTTAGAAAATTAATACAGCATACACAAAGTTACTATATAGAACAGTAGTTTCAGTATGAATTATCAAATCATTGAAATCTAAATCTATTTAAATGTTTAAAATTTATAAGATTTCTTAAACATGTAAGTGTCGCAGTTTGAAATTATATATTTAATCAAACTTTCATTTTAATACTAACTTACCATTATGGGAAGTCTAATTCCCACCACCACCCCCACCAATCATACTAAACTCAGAACACAAGTTCTTGAAACAATTAACTGTTTAGTGTGTTTTCCTATATACTAATAAAGTTAAAATGAATGTGTTAGTTCACAGCATTTTATATGTCACCACCTACAGTTAATAATCCCAGACTGTGGAATTTTCATAGAAGACACTTTGATAAATATTACCTCACCTCTGTGATTATGATCTATCCCACAAACAGATAGTTAATATTATTCACTTGAGTACATGATTTACCAGTTTTTCTTAATCAATAAACAATTAAAATAGAAGATGGTAGAAAAAAGTAAAAAATTACATCTGAAATTGTACAGATATACAGTAATGTCCCGAATCAACTGAAATACTATTGTGTGGAAATCTTACTTCAAATTATTGGGTAATTGGTATTCATTCCTTTCCAAATAGCTAGAGAAAGAGAAATAGCGGTTTTGAGTCAACATCTGGAGAATGTAAAGCATACCAATTTGGAATTTCAGCAAAAGCTAGAAGAATTGAAGGTAAGAATTAGTCCATTACCATATCAGTGGTAATTTTAAAGTCTTCATTTGACAAATCCTCCTGCCGTTGTGGTCTGAAGCATACAGATGTGTACTTAACCCTGTCGCCCTGGGTACACTTTACTGCACATGACACAAGGTTTTAGTGTTTTACATTCAAAATTTTATTAAACTACTTTTTGTTTATGTTATACCAATTATAATAGCATAAAATCTTGAATCAAAGAAAGCTTTTATGGCACTGGATACTATTGAATTGCTTCTCTTTCTCTGGGAAGTAGCTCAAAATTAAGGCAGTGGTGGCAGATATGTCTTTCAAGTTCATCCCACAGATGCTCAATTGGATTATGATCCAAGGATTGTGGTAGCTGTTGGATATGTCTGAAGTCTCTGTCATGTTTCTCTAACCATGCCTACACCGTTTGGGCATGGTGGATGGTACATGAAACATTGCTGGATGCACTTGATCAGAAATTATGCTGAGGTAAATTATGGCATTCATTCTGCCTTCTAAAGGGAACAAGAAGCTCGGGAAATGCCAGGAAAATATGTATCAAACCATGGTCTCCAACTGTTGTAATCTATTTCTTGCAACATTGTTTACAAGGTATGGCTGGAAATAGGTTAGGATTGCCCTGCACTGAATGTCTGTCAGTTGGTGTATTGTTTGATGATGGTTGGACTTAACCATCCTGTCTTGCACTTTTCTTCTCTTTTTGTCATTATATGTTTCTGGTCTCAATTCCTCTTCATATCAAACATTTTATTCAACACCGTCCATTTTTGAATAGCCAATGTGTTGGAGCAGGCTACCAATGAAGTAGTCTTGACTATTGTGACACCTGCTAGATGTGCTTTCACTGTCATATCTGTTTTGAACACTGCAATATCTTTACCTTTTTACATATCTGTTAGACTGATTGCAAGTCATGTATAGTGCTGTATGGTTAATGTGATGTCATGTGATAATCCTAATTTGCATCTGCAGCTCAGTTCAGGCCTAAGTTTCAAAGGGTACATAGTTCACAATAAAGTAGCCAGAGTTTGTGGAGTGAAAATTTGGGAATAAAGATTTGATGATGATGTAAGATGTCTTGTAAGTGAATGTTTTAACTATATCATCAATCGGGTTAAACTCTATGGAGTAAATCGTTTTAGTATATTTGTCTTATTTGAAGCTAAATGTAATGTTACTAAGTTTCACATGGCTTAAAAACTCTTGGCCCTAGGCAACTGATCATTTTTTTTCTTTGTGCTTGACACCTGTTTTTTTTGTTGTTGTTGTTTTGTTTTTGCAGTTTTCAGATAAAATATTCAGGCAATATTTAGGGTTTTTTAGTCACTTTCTTCTGTGAGGTCATTTTTTAAAGATTTTTGTCTTGGCTTATAGCAACTTATTATAGATATTGAGTCATCAAGTTCTTACTGTAAGTTTGTGATGATCAGATATTAATATTAGTAATAAAATGCTGGTTTTCTTTTCTAAAATATTCTGTATGGTTAATAATGGCTGGAGATGGCTTGAATGGGTAATGAAGAAAAACTTTAATATAAGTTTAACATAACAGCAAATGTACAACGTTTCGACAAGGTTGATGATGACTAAACCTTGTCGAAATGTTGTACATTTGCTGTTATGTTAAACTTATATTAAAGTTTTTCTTCATTACCCATTCAAGCCGTCTCCAGCCATTATTAGACTAGAGGTAAAGCACCTGGTAAACCACCCATCACAGATCCGATCCGATTGGCATGGTAGGAATTTAGGTTAAAAGTATATTACATTCCCGAAGGGGAATGAAAT